ACTTGTTCTCGGCCCCCGTTGTTCGATGCTGCGTCCGTCCCCGGATAAGAAGATCCTTAAAACAACATAGGTGGCCGGTTAATTTATGTGGCGGTTGACTGAATAGTCGGTCGACATCCAGGCTTCTTTAATCTGCCTTGATGTGTGATGATCACCGCGGCCCACAATTTCAACCGTCGTGTCCCATCGCTGCAGCATGGGTTGCTAACTCCGACTTTGGATCCAACCTCCCCAAGGTTGCTATACGTACTCACTTCCTGCACTAAAAAAGATGGTGTGTCCAGCCACAACCTTCACGTTGGACCTCTAACTGAACACGCCATAACGCTCATCCGGAGTGTACACATATCCAGAGAATACACAAGTGCTATTGCATTTTTCTCATTGAGTTTCAATTGTATTTTTAATACAAGTATATCTTATAGAAGCATTGTATGAAAAAAATTATCACTGTACCTACCTAGTAGAAGCTGTCGTCATTTTCAAAGTTTTCAACGGATGAAAGTGCATTCATCGATTTTCAAGATTTTATTTATTATTAGGTTTCTAAGAGAATGAAATATCTTTTCGTGATTCATGACTCTTCATAAATGTTGCCTATAAAATGTGGCCCCCATTGATTGTAAAATGCTGTGCACACTGCATGACGACTCAAGGTAACGAAATTTGTCATTATTCTAAAACTGTATGTATATAACAGGCGGTGCAGAAGGTGTAAAGGAAAAATTAAAGCCATCAAAATGATCAATAATAGGAAATCGTTCCTAAACCCAAAATAAACTCTTTCTTAAGTGTAGAATCCTACGAAGACCCAAGTTTTATCAAGTTTCTACGAGAAATAATATTTTGATTCGTGTTTTCTTTAAGTAATATCAGTCAGCCAGTGTATTTGAGGAAGCAATAGGCTTGCGCTTTTGAATTCACATCAAAATATTAAGGATTAGAAAGAATGTAAAAGGGTCCTCAGTCAGTTAAATGTAACCAGAGTCACATCATGCATCGAGGTTGATTTGACACATTGCATACGTGGTGCTGTAACCTATGCATATCAGATTGGTGTTTAGATGCTTCCACAGATTGGGACATAACAATTGCCTCGGGTAGGTTATTCCACGGGTCCACGACCCGGTTAGAGAAAAAATACTTCCTCCCATGCAATCTTTCTTGAAGCACATACAGTTTGAAGGGATGTCCCCAAAGATAAGTTTTAGCGTCGGGTTGGAAACGGTCATCACATATGAAAGCACAAACCATGTCACATACGGTACGGAAGGTTTGTATCAAATCTCCGCGTAAATGCGTATAACTCGGAGGATATAGGTAAAAGTTATTTAGGCGGCTCTCACATGGTAGTCCGCTTTGGCCTCTTACTAATTTTGTGGCCCGCCGCTGCAAACTTTCGAAAAAAATATAATCCTGCCCCATCCACGGTCTCCAGGCTTTAATTGTGTATTCAAGATGTGGCCTTATGAAGGTAACGGAGATTTTCGGGAAACAGAGTTCAGCAAAAACGGTAAAAGCCCGCTTGGTGGCGCACAACATTGAACTTGCAACTTTAGCTGCCTTACAATATTGTGTAACAGGCTTTAGCTTGCCTGTTATCTAGACGCCGAGATCTCTCTGTATTTCTGCCTCTTGTAGTGGGATTCCGTTCAAATAGTAGGATCGCGCATTAGGAACCGGACGCAGCAGAGTGCTTTTCTAATTGTAAAAATTGTAAAAAATGTTTGAAACGGAAAAAATCTCCAGAGATAACATATCTGATGTAATTGCCAGCCACATTTTCAGTTTTCAGAACATTTTCAGTTCCCATTTATTGACTATGTTGGATTTTTCCTAATAGGAACTACGATTCCAGATCGAAGAGTATGAGTTAGACAATGCTACTGCAGTAGATGAGTTTGTCCTCCTCATGAAGATGGTCAGTACCACTCTGCTGCTCGGCCTCCTTGTTGCCATTCTGTGTCCCCTCTGCACCATGATCGCAGATCATCGCTACGAGAAGCGGAAGTTGCAGAAGCATCGAGAAAAGCAGAAGGCCATCGAAAGCTTGCTAACTCTCAAACTAGATGTGGAGAAGGAGGCGAAGGCTAGAACAGCAGCAGCGACGGAAAATGCCGATGAAGGCGAACGGGCGACCGCACCTTCAGTTTCCAGGCACACGCGTAGCGCACGCCAATCGATGGCCATGATCAGCGATATTATGCGAGCGCAGGCGCTAAAAAGGGCCAGCAGTCATACCCTGGGTGAAGTTGGGCCTAGAGGCCGCCCTACGGAGGCTATGGGCGGCAATACAAGCGAAAAAACAATGTCAGGCCGCAAGACAGAAGTAAGGAAAAGGATTCAGCCGTCTTCCCAGAAGAAGTCTAAGTTTATCGCCAGCTCCCGCACTAAAACGCTAAAGGTTTCCCGACCTACTAACAAAGGCTCAACAGACTAGAAGGCGCGGCGGCTGCGCCTTCCTTTCGCGCCAGTGGGCATAATTCAGTATACTTTAGTTCAGCATATTTAGGGTGGTAGGCAGTGCCTTCGCGTTTGTTACTGCTTACCACATTTACTCGTTCTGTCAAATTTTCTATTTTTGCATACTTGTTATTGATTAAAGTTAATTCTTGCTATTTTGTTGCAGAATGGCGAGTTTTTGATCGTCCTGTCTTTCATGAGGCTTTTGGTCGCCTGTAGAACGTGACACATTTATGTCCTGTAGGCTGGAAGCAAACGATCAACCTTGCTGCGAAATTATCTGCGTACATCCACTCTTGGAATTGATTTTGAAGATGGGGTCTTCGGAATAGAGGCCTAGGTAAGGGTCTTGAGCAGAAACTAGGATTACGCTCTTTGTAGCTTAGGAGTGAGAGTCCCCTTCAACGGTCTCTTCTCCACAAGAGAATTATTTGTTCCATTTGGTAAAAAGCTCCTAATTTCCAGTATTTCAACCCAAGCGTTCGTATAACTTAACAAGCAAATGGCGTAAGCGCGGGTTTTCAGTTTATTTCGATGTGGCTGGCTGACGATGGCTACTATACCAGAATCAATCATTCCAGGCTCTGTAGTCTTTCTCGGGCATGCGTTTTTGCCTATATCACTAACTACTTTGCGGCTGCTGGCAGTGCTAGAGGAAATCGACCACTGAGCATCCATCCATAAAGATGAATACCTTCTACTATTGCTCATCGTCAGCAAAATTTTGTAGCCCTCCCTGTGGTTGCCTAGAGTGTTGCAATCCCAAGTGGGAATCTGACGGGCAGTATGGGATCCACTCCCAATCTAGATAGATCAGTTAACATGTAGAACTATTTTCTGTGTTTTATGGGACAAAAGAAGTCGCTTTTGGCGAGAGTGCATTTTTGATTTTTCATCATTCTCATCATCGCTCAAGAGGCATTTGCGTCATCCATTAGCAGAAAATATTTATCCTACCTGCACAACATATTTAATTCCAAGAGTTGGCATACTGACAAGCTGGTTTCCGACCGCTTCGTCTGGATTAGGGTGCCCACTGAACTTAAAAAATGGACATAGGAATATCTCGGTTGTCAACGCCGTGAAGTTAAAGGTGTTATATCCTTGCCTCAAGCCACGATGTTTGCCGTCCAAAAACGCCCTGATCGAATCCCCAAAGGATAAAGCAACAGCCACGACGGATGAGTGGAAGTATCTTGACGTTGACCTAGTACAACGTACTTCAGGCCAAGAATGGAGCATATGCATGTGCACAAGATCGGGTTAAAATCGGGCCAATCCGATGGTGGCCTTGGACGTTAGCATACTAGCTGGCTTTCTGGCTCCTCCGAGTGTTTGATCATAGCACTAATCCTGCTAACAGTTATTGCGATATCATCACGCGCACAGCCTATGGGCCGATCTATGGTGCGGCGTGGGGCAAGTCATCGGGGCGGTGTGCAAACGAGTTGGTTGGGGCTTTTCCTTAGAATCTTTCGTTTGAGAAGAGTTGTAACGTTCGAACTGCGGCGTTGGTGTTATGCGTTGACCCGATCGTCTAGACATTTGAGGACACCACTTTGACACTAGAACTGTCGGTTCTTTCCTTGATTTTGCTAACTCGACTGTGTTCAGGAATAGTTCAAATGAAAATTTTGGACTTGGATTTCGGGCGTGTGTGTCAGATGATTGGCGTGTCACACTCAAATGTCTGCTCCGGCCAAAATCTCGTAGGCGACTTCGTTACACATTCGATGAACACGTCCAAGCGCCCACTTTTCCTGATTGTTCTTATAATCCTTTGCCAGCACAATGTCATCACCTCGTTTCCCTGCGTCGTGGCGCAGATTGAAATGCATTTCTATCTAGGTCGGATAAACTAGTTTATTACCAACAGCGAACGAATTACGCTAAATGCTGCGTGAAGATTACTCTGCATCACAAATTCTGTAGGAGCGATAATGTTTGGACCGTCAGGTTATAGGCATCCCGAGAGTTGAGCAGGAGCATTTGGAGCATATCTTCGTCCCCCTCCCCCTTCGACTTCTGGAGAGCCCGTTTGAATGTGTTCAAGAATCGCTCAACCTGTCCATTGGGCTGGGAATGATACTGTAGTGACCACAAGTAGTTAGTGCCTGACTACTTGCAGAAAGGGACGAAGGTGTCTGCGGTTCAACAGAGTATCCGGATAACCAAAAGAACAAGCGCAACGATTTGCCGTTCCTACACTGTGTACTTAGACATTATCTGAGCAAGAGAATCGGTCACATGGGAAGGGCCGGGCCGAGCTCAGCAACAACTCTGACGACGGCGAACATAATTGTCACACAATTATCAAGCCCGCGCCCGACAAGGACAACGAAATCGCGGCAATTAATTAGTCGAAAGCGAAGTGTAAAGCCATCTATGCGTCAATTAATGATAATAATAAATTGTATATCTAAGGCCCAGGGGGCCCTTTCATTACAAACTTTGTGCTATCGTAAAAAGAAAAAATATAAAAATTGGTAATCACAGCTGCGCGTAAGCAACGGCATGACAACAGGAATTAGTAGTATGTTACGCGTGGTAAGATGGTAAGTTGGATCCGATTAACAACGAACTCTTATAAAATAACAGTCTGGACAATAAAAAAACTCCTACATCGGTGGCTGAGTTCAGCGAGCCACCGATTTCCAAAAACATGTGGGAGAAAAAAAACTGCCTTAATAGGTAGTATGGTATGTCATGATGCAATTAGATGGGATCCTGCTGTTGAGAGTTCGAGACGCTTATTTTCATGGGAAAAATAATATAGTGGTAATTTAAGAAGGGGTCATCCGGGACAACAGGAGAAGACAGTAGAAGACAAGGCAACATCACCGAGATGCGACCCACCAGGCTCCAAAGTCCACCGACAAGTTGGCGACAACGTAAGACCATGCGATGACCATCAATAGTGGCCTCGAAGACCATCGCCAGGGTCGCAAAACTCAGAAGAGTTTGCAGCATTAGAAAATTATGCTTAACTCAGACTGTAGAGTACACCAGCAAGTTGACGACAACATAAGAGCCCGTGATGATCCTAAGCAGTGGTTACGGGAGCTGATAG